CTGTTTAGAGGATTCATAATTATAAATGCATTTATATTTTAAACTGCTGCCTTTTTATTTTTCTGTTTGTTCATCTCCATCTTCTAATTACACTGCTGGTTGATTTAGTTGAAACAATCCATTTTTATCCCAAACTGATCGTCAGTCTCCATTCCTATAATTTCGAGTTCAGTTATCCTTATAAACAGGCAAAAAAAAAAAATTAAATAAAATATAATTTCCTTTCACCTGCGTTAAGATCAAACATTATTATTGGAGTCTCAAATTCTACTGAAATAGGGGTATGCTGACAGCATCTAACTATTTTGCCTTTTCTCCTTTACCTTTTAAAAATGATTGACACTTCCTTGGTTTTGTTTCTTTTAACACTGTTTAAAAGGTTGGTGGTTTTGATATGATATAACACTTTTACAAACTGTAAGAGTTTCACAACAATAGCACTGATAGCATTCAACTTAATAATTAACAAGGTATGATTAGAAAAAAATTCCCGAACAGAATATACTTTAATTGAAGAACAACAAGGAAAATGTTGGTGCCTATCCTTTGTCTATAACTAAATAAATCCTTTCTTAATTAAAAAAAAAAAGCAAAAAAGAAAAAGCAAAAAAAAAAAAAAAACCAACCTATTATTTGTGTATTGGCACACAAAATTCCTTTTGCAAGTTTTAGTTAAAGTTCTTGAACACAACATTGCAAAGAATAAATGGAAATGCACAGATGGTGTGTTATTCTCACAACACAATATATTTTACCTTGGCTCGGTTCCCCCCTTTGTCCCTCCCCTTGTTCTCAGTCTATTTATTCTAATCACTTATTTTGAATTACAGTTATGTATTGGTCAGATACAGCAAAAGTTTCAAATATTATTTTGTAGTTCAAATTATTTTTGTTAAATGTGCATAATCAAGCGGAATATAGGATGTTAGATGTTATAATTGTACACTGGCTATTTAGGATGAAAAATGTTTTGGGTGAAGCAGAAGGATAAGAAAAGTGAAGAAAGTGAGGTGAGAAATGCATTCAGCTTATGACACCTTAATGTAGGTATTTACAGGAGGTGTCTATGGTGAGCATTCTTTCCTTTGCTTCATAGTGGCTTCATCGCTAGCAACCTAGTCAATATGTTAGTGTTGTTGCAACACGATTCAGCTGTCATGCCAATAGGTGTCTACTTCTGAATGGGTTGACTCACTTTCCAAGCTACATCATCTGTAATGGAAAATCAGATTCCTACTTCATGTGTAGGTACTTAAGTTTAGACATGTAAATTTATAAGCTTGAGCTAAATCCCATGTGTCAAACAGGTCACTGCTTTGTGTTTTTGGCATTTGTGTTGGTAGCCAGAGCAGGTTAGAATCCTTAAACAAGAATTCATTAGATTTCTGTGGACAGACTTTCAAAATATTTAATAGTACAGTCTGGGGCTGATAATTATTTGTGTGGGTGACACTCATTGTGTGTAAGTAGTGTTTTTGTGCCAGTTGCATTCTTAATTTTTTTTTCCTTGTTTCATCTTAACCCACCTTTTTGTGCTAATTACATCGTTTTCCATCTATCTGTGCTGCCACACATCCCCACATACTATTCCTGAGGTGAAGAGTGGATGCAAGTGAGACAAAAGCTGTGCAGCCAGGTACAGAGAGGAGCTCAGTGAATCCATTCCCAGCTTCCAGTACTCACACTACTCCCAAGACGGGCCGTATGGTCCTCAAAGGCCAAAGTCCTCAGACAGTGACACTCCATAAGCTCTATAGCACTGCTTTCTTAATAACTGCAGAAGCCAGCAGCAAGGGGCAGGTATCTCTACAGAGGGCTTGGGACATACAGGGCTTAAGTGACATAGTTTCTCCAGTGCATGGAAGAACCAAAGTGAATAACATAGACAAAAGGATTTGCATTGATTCACAGAATTGTAGGGGCTGGAACAGACCTCCAGAGATCATCAAGTCCAACCCTCCTGCCAAAGCAGACTCCCAACAGCAGGTTGCACATGTAGGCGTCCAGGCAGATCTTGAATGCCTCCAGAGAAGGAGACTCTACAGCATCTCTGAGCAGCCTGTTCCAGTGCTCCATCACCCTTACCATGAAGAAGTTCTTACACACATTGTACGGAACTTTCTATGCTTCAGTTTGTGACCATTTCCCCTTGTCCTATTGCCATGCATCACTTAAAAGAGTCTGGCCTGGTCTCTTTGCCTCCCACACCATAGATATTTATACACATTGATCAGATCCCACAGGATTGATATGACGTAAAAACAGGGACTTGATATGGTAGAATTGTATAAGAATTGTAACCATCCAATTCTCCTCACATCTTCCCATACTCAGCTTATGCTGAAACTAATGCATGTCGTTGTACACAAAAGATTGTTCCTGTCCACTCTGAACCTTATACCTACTCTCCTGCACCTTTTATTTTTTTTCCCCAAGACTCTTCACAGTGGAATATGTTTGCAGATTTCTGCTATGCACAATGTCCTGAGCTTCTTTTGCCTTACTATCTTTCTAGACCAACTTACCAGCTTTTAGGTTTAGAAAATAGTTGGATCATGGTAGCTTGCTGACAGTGCCAGGTATTGCTACTGACTCTGTTTAGAATTCAAAAGCAAAACTAGGAATTAACTTAATGTTAGGGAGCAGAGAAATCTTTAGAAATCATAGAATGGCTTGGGTTGAAAGGGACCTTAAGGATCATCAACTTCCAACCCCCTGCCCACAGGCAGGGTTGCCAGCTGCTAAATCAAGTACTAGATCAGGCTGCCCTGGGCCCCATCCAACCTGGCCTTGAAAACCTACTGCAGTTCAAGACAGAAATGTTTTCAGTATTTCCTGGGTAGAAAACTACAAACCTCTGGTAAATATGTGAAATTTCATGTTAAGCAGTATACATACTCGTGATTCTGTTGGATTCAGTGTTTCCTGTAGTACTTTGGCACATCTATTAAGATTTTTTTCTCACAAAATGTGATTTTAGATCAAATATTAAGGCTTCCTTCTTGTATTAAACTTGGTTGTGATGCCAAATTGATTTATATATTGTGGACTAATTTGCCATCCCAACTCTCTGTTATTCCCTCCCATATTTTCATATTTGAGAATTCCCCTATCACAGTGGAAGCTCATATCAGAGTTGACTACAGAGTCTATTCCACGTCTGAAAACAGGCAGGGCTGTCAAGTAAAGGACAGACTCTGCGAGCAGAGAATGCTGAGAGGATCTTGACATGAGAGAATTTGACCTTACGTGTCCATGTTTCAATTCTGTTTCTGAAATAAATCTACTTGACAGTTTGGGATTTTTGCCTTGATCAAATGTGCAGCTATTTGGTCTACAGAATAGCCAAATTTAACTATAGGAACAGCACTTGTTAATGTCAAAACATTGTTTATGTACCATTTAATCTCCTGTGATGGTGTACGTATTTGCTATATACTTGCTTGAGTTATTTTCATCAAGAAATTCTGTCTATGTGTCACTTTGGCAACATCTTTGCAGAGTTTACAACTTTGAAAAACATGTTGGCATCAACTATGCAGTCCTTTTAAACAGCTGTTCTGCAGTCATGCTGTTTTAACATGCCACTACACATGGCTGAATTATGCAAATAGTTAATATTAAATGACTGAGATACAAGAACAATTTGTACACTCAATAAAGCTGGTCTGTGGAGTGTAACAGCCATTCATGTAACTGAATGAGTCTGGGGCAGTTTAAAGATGTGATTCTTTTGACTTTGGGTACAAGTACTTGTATTAAGGCAGAAACGGACAGAGAGAAGCTATATGGCAAGAATGTTTTGTAAGGCTTTTCTTTTGACTACTTATTAATAATGCAGTGAAAACAGAATGTGCATCAATATACTTTTCTGGCAATTACTAAGAAATAGGTAAGGCACAGCAAATGTTTGTCATTCATCTATAAATATTAATAACTCTGTTTTGATTGAGAGATAAGATACGATGCTAATTATAATGCTGATATTTTAGCAGTGTTTATTGAAAACAGCAGCACTGTAAGAAAGCTAAAACATAGAGTTTAAAAAGATACAAAATTGTCTTACACTTTGAATGATGCTTCTACTGACTTTGCTAACCTAACTGCAGTAACGAAGCACGAATGATGTACAATGTAGAACGACAGATAAAACATTCTAAATTCTGTAATTTAATTACCTACTAGATGTAAGGGGACAGAACTTTAGGCACTAGGAGATGCATGACAACAAAAGAAGGAAGCCATTTAAAGTCACAAAGTACCATTAGTTTTCCTTTCTCACTTTACAGTAACTTTTGAATAATTGATTTTTTTTTTTCAGCTAAATAGTAAGAAAAAGTGTTTTTTGGTTCTTTGTTTTTTAATCAGATTGTTTACCAAACAAATTCTTAGAATACCAAAAAAAAAAAAAAAAAAAAAAAAAAAAAACTGAGTATTTCCTCATGCTTTTGCTTTTTATTTTCCATGTTGGAATTTTTTATGTTTCATGAAATTTCTTTTCCACTTGATGCCATTTTTACTCTAAGTCTTCGTAAGGTATTGCATTGACTTTTCTGATCAGAATATAAAGACATACATACATTTTTAGTAGTAAGACTTCTGTGCAAGACACAATACTTGAAAGTACAATTTATCACATACAAATTATGTTGGTAAACTCCCTCTGCCTGACAAAACAAACTCAAAATATTTTTTTTAATTAAATGGAAGCTTAACTTAAAAGTGACAGTGGCTTCCTTACTACACAACAAATGTTGTCTTTTACAGCATTTATTCAGTACAAAATTTGAGTTGTATAAATCGTATGTATATTTTTCACTTTCTTACTTTTATTAATACGCAATTAGTAATTTTGTTAACAATGGTAAGTATCTGGTGCTTGTTGTATTTTCTGATCCACTTACATTTTTCATTTGGAGAATAAAAATTCATTATTAACAAAATAGATTCAAGTGTAATTTTACTGCTTAACTGAGCATTGCCCTTTTATGGTTTTCCAGGAACTAGCCGTAATGAAACAGATTCTAATTAATCTACAGGATAAACACAAGGAACAAAATTTACTTCCATCTCAAATTAATGTAAAAAGTTTGACTACAGAAAACAAATTAAACCCTTCAGTAAAACTGCTGCCAGAATATGAAGAAGAAAATGTATTTAGACCTAAGCCAACATTATTTGTAAGTACTATACTAACAGTGAGTGCCGTAAACTTTTTTATTGTTTTCCTCACACTTTAAAAAGAAGAAAGGTAGTTCATACTTCAAGGAGGTACATACTTTATTCCACATAATATATGCAACTTTGTATGGCTGTGGTTGATTCTGAAGAGACAAATTGCAGTTTATGATGTTATTTACGTGTTTGGTAGTTCGTGCATGTGAAGTTCAAAGTAAACAAGATTTTTAAAAGAAAACCAATTATATTATTATCAGTTCACAAAACTGTAATGAGCAAAGAATAAGTATGCAATTTTAAGTCTACCCTGAGCATGAGATGACTGTGTAGAGATATACTGAGGAGCAGTAGCGAAGAAATAAATGTTTTTATGTGTATTTACACTGCTGCATATACATGCATACATACAGGCACATGCCCAAGATTTTTATAACTTCTGTTACTATGGATAACTGATACTACAAAACCTTGTTCTATTCCTTTAGAAAATAAATGCTTGAATTTAAATGCTTCAGTTCCCTACTGAATTTGGTGCTTCTGGTATTTGAAAGCTTCAGAAAAATGATGTAGAAGCTTCTGACTACAAGTGCACCTCAGCTGATAAATTTAAGAGAATTTTAATGCTTAGTCACAAAGCAAATGATAATTTGTGTTTACAATGGTTGCAGCTGTATTCCTCTAGGGTAGGCTGGTTGAATCCACACAACCCTCTTTTTTTTCTTCTTCCCCAGGCCCAATATTTTGTTGCTTTGGTCCAAATATGTAACCATATATGGTTGTTTTTTGATATTTTTATTTTTGGTGGAATCTTCCTAAAATTGAAAGAGACTCAAATAATGTAAGATTGATATTGCAACACATCAGATAATGTTTTTATAATACACAATGTAGGGAATGATTACATCTCCTGAGCATGAGGGCATTTGGGGACAATTACTTAGTTTATTCTGTGGTTCATATTTTGCTTAGACAGTGTTATGAAGTAACACTGAAGTTAGAAGTAAACGGCATGCCATGTGTTGTCTCATCTGTAATCCTTTTGGAAGTGCTAAATCATATTGCCCAAACTTTTGTCTTTGATGCAGTGATCCAAAACAGAGACAAAATGTGAGGTAACGATTAGGTTGTGTAGATGATCCAGAGTTTCAATGTATTATCTGTCCTGCCTTTCTTAGGGATATAGAAATGATGTGGCAATCTAGAAAAAGAAATGCTTTGACATGTTGAAATTGTTCGTCATCTAACTTTGGAGTAGGAAAATGCAAACGAGCTGATCGCAGGGTTTCCTATTAGATGGGGAAATAATTTAACAGTCCTGTTAAAGTCCTGACCATTTAGGCCAATTTAGAGAATTTTAATAGCTTGTACAAATAGAGCAAATTTATTTTTATAACTGAGAGCTTCAAAATGAGAGAAAATGAAGATTTAAACATGATGAGGATCCAAGGCCAGCTGAATTTGAAGACTGATTGGTTATTAAGTCTTGGAGGAACAGAACAAATAGGGGGAAGAAAGCAAACTGTTTTAAACTCTAAACGAGTTTAGAGACAACAGACACAAGAAAAATTATTAGCAAAAGCAGGAGTTAATACTGAAACTTGAATGTAGAACAGTCCTTAACTTTGTTCCACCTTCACTTTTTTTTATTTCTTCATATAAACAACTTCTGAATTTGCTACAAGAATGTTCTATTCTATCTTGAATGTGCAGTAGCCCAAAGGATTATGAAGGCAAGAAGTTGCTCATTGATAATTCTCTACCAATAAAATTATTTTTGCACTGTCATTTAACTGCTGAATTCTTTTATTTTGGATTATAATTTTTGAGAGCTCTTATTTTGGATAAAGTGTTGGTCTTTGGCACACACAGAATCTCTTTCCTGAGTTCCATCCTCTTCTCTAATGGGAGCATTGGATGATGATATTTAGAATGAAATCTATTTGTGGTACACTTGACTCACGTTCAATATTTTAAAACAAATCATTTACCTTATCTGCTTTTTATAACCTAGAAATCAGCTGGTTTAAATACAGATATGTAGAAATAATAACCTTGAATACATAGTCTTACCTTTATTTTACTTTCTTTAAGCAGAAAAAAATGATTTAACACTATGAGCTATATAGGAAAGAAAGAGAATTCAGCATAAATTGCATGTTCTTATTCTGACTTTTGCTCTTTCTCACAACTAATTCATTCTTCATGTTACAGACAAATACACAGGCACCTGTATGGTACAAGAAACTGCAGAAGAAAACATCACCATAGCATTTTTCAGTAAATACTTGAGAAAATCCTTTAAGGAGATTTTCTTTGAAGAAAGATATTTTCACCATAATAATGCCTCTTTTCCCATAAAGGCATACAACTCTTTTGTTTACAACTGTTGCTTTATATCTGTGATATTATCTTATGTTGTATAAAATAATTTTTAGATCTGCCGTGTGAATAAAATGTGTGGAAATAATGCATGCAATAAACTTACTAACATATATTTGAATTTTAAAAGATAAATAAACACCATCATACTGTATATATTTATAATCTGAGTTGTTAAACGGTGTCTTATTCATAGCGTTCAAATGAATGCATGCTTCAGCTCTCTATATTGTTTTTCTTGGACCTTGTGCTTCATGTCACATTCCTTGCAACTATTCTGGCTCACAGAAATTGAAAAAATATACATGAATTAGCATCAGACTGTAACCTACTTCCTGTGAGGGAAATCACATAATTGTAGGAGCTGATAGGGAGCTCTGGAGATCATCTAGTCTAACCCCCTGCTAAAGCAGGTTCCCTACATTATGTTATACAGGAAAGCGTCCAGGTGGATTTTGAATATCTCCATAGAGGGAGACTCCACAGCCTCTCTGGGCAGCCTCTTCTAGTGCTCTGTCATCCTCACAGAAAAGAAGTTTTTCCTCATGTTCAGATGGAACTTCCTGTGTTCCAGTTTTTGCCCATTGCCCTTTGTTCTGTTGCTGGGCACTGCTGCAATGAGCACACTGCAACCACTTGACATCTGCCCTTTATATGTTCATAGGCATTAATCAGGTCTCCCCTCAGTCTTCTTTTTTCCAGGCTGAACAGACCCAGGTCTCTCAGCCTTTCCTCATGTGGGAGATGCTCTAGCCCCCTCATCATCTTCATGGCCCTCCACTGGACTCTACCAGGTGATGCCTGTCTTTTTCATACCGGAGAGCCCAGAACTGGACACAGTACTCCAGATGTGGCCTCACCAGGGCAGAGTAGGGGGAGGATCACCTCCCTCAGCCTGCTGGCCACAACTCTTTTTAATGCACAAAAAACTTTTTAATGTACAGTTGGCCTTCTTGGCCACAAGGGCACACTGCTTTTGTATGTCAAGTGAAAAAACAATTCCCTTATCAGCCCTGATTTGTATAACTTGACAATATCAGTTCATTTACCAAACAATCATTAAAATCTTCTGATGAAGCAATGAAATATATCTTAGTTATCAGCTCTGATACTCGGGGTTAGATGCATTTGCTCTACGGTTCTATATCACATAAATGTTGATGGCACTGTTTAAGTAAGTGCATACTGATTTCACTCAGATTTCATTTAAGAGGAAGTTTCTTTTTTCTTACTTCCTGTTTCCTTGACATCTCTTCAACTGCTTCGTTGTTCCTAGCTGAATGTGAACAATAATTATTTACTGCATATAAATATTGAGCTTATGATTCTTACATACACTTTTCTTCTTCATTTTCCAAACATCAAGTTGAAATAAAGCAATACTTCCTCTACTGAAGGTAAGCTTCAGCTTTTGCTAATTCTGAGAGAGTGAGGTAAAAACACAAGTTTTTGTACACCATGGGATTAAAATGATGATTCTGTGAATGAGGGAGGCATAGTATGTAGACAAAGATAATTGTTCACATGGAAAAAAAAGCACTGATCTTTGGACACACAAGACTATCTGTACTGATATTGCTTGATTAGCTTTGGTTTCTTGAAGTCTAGGTTTTTCTCTAATGTATTTTTTTGTAAACAGAATTGTTTTTGTGTGAGACAGCTCGCATATGCAGATAATAGTTTTGTAGTAAGTATTTAATATGATTCACTGCCCCTAATTTATCTTTCCCAGACTGTCTTGCTTGTCTGTTATCACCCAATAATCGGTAAATTCTGTTATCTGGACCTGTGAACTATTCTAAGCAAGATACTAGTTGCAATCTTTAGTATTCACTATTTGTTCCCCAGTACAGACAAATTGGTAAGATACAGACTATGAAGTGGATGGTAATTTGGCTGACACACCAAGTGCAAGGAAATGTGATCAGCAATGTGAAGTCCAACTGGCAAATAGCGTCCTTCAGCAAGTTCACTGTCAATGCCAAATTTGGAGACGTAGTCTCTACAGGGCAGGGTCTTGGACAGACATCAACTGGCTGGAAGAATGGAACAACAAGAACCATACAGAGTTCAAAGGCAAGTCCCATCTCTATGGTTGAAGAACCTCATCTTCCAGGACTGACAGGAAGGCGGCTTGGGAGAAACAGATCTCAACATCCTGGTGGGCAACAAACTTAACATGTCAGCAATACACCCTTGCAGCAAAGGATCCTGGGCTGTACTAACAGTATAGCCAGCACATGAAGGGAAGCGCTTCTTTCCTTCTGTTTGGTATATGGGAGACCACATCCAGAGTGTTATGTTCAGTTTCGGGTTTGTTCAAAGCATTGCTGTACAAAAGCGAGTCCACAGAGATTCACCATGATGATCAGAGGCTGGAGTACATATTGTAGATGGGGAGGCTGAACTTAAAGGGCTTGGCAGGGATCTTGGTTCAGTCTCCAACTACCTGATAGGATGGTAGGCCCTCTGAGGGCCAGCCTGCCCTCAGAGCTGCACAATAATAGAGTAAGATGAAACTGACAAAAAGTGCAACGCCAAAAATTTCAACTGTCTATTATGAAAAATGGAACACCTCTCCTGTGAGGACAGGCTGAAAGAGTTGGAGCTGTTCAGACTGGAGGAGAAAAAGAAAAACTGAGAGCAGCCTTTCAGTATCTAAAGGGGAGCTACAGGAAAGAAGGGGACAGAGTCTTTAGCGGAGTCTGTTGTGAGAGGACAAGGGGAAATGGTTTCAAACTTAAAGAATGGGGATTTAGGTTGGGTATAATGAAAGTATCTTTTACAGCAAGGGTGGTGAGGCACTGGAATAGGTGGCACATGCCCTGGCTCTGGAGGTTTTCAAAGCCAGACTGGTCAGGGCTCTGCGCAACCTGATGGAGCTGTAGCTTTCCTTGCTCATTGCAGGGGAGCTGGACTAGATGGCTTTAAAGTACTTTCCAACTGTAAGGATTCTGTGACTATGAGGATGGTCAAACACTCAAACAGATAGCTCAGGGAGGTGGTGGCATCTTCATCCTTGGAGAGGTTTAGCAATCAACTGGGCAAAGTCTTGAGCAATCTGATATAATTGGACCTGTCTTTACATTGGACCAGATGATTATTTTTCAGAATTCCTTTCCAACCTAAATTTCTCCGTGGCAACATTTCTAAATGTACAAGATGGTGACATTAATTTATTTCTTAATGTTTACACTTCTTAAGTATTTAAGATGCTTCCTGAATGAATTGTGCTTCATAAATTTCTATGTTCTGCAGCAGCCAGATCTTCTGGGAGGGCAAACAAAAACTATTATATGGTGAAATTATATTGACATTTAAACAGTTCTTCAGATGACAATTTGACATTTACTGGTTTTTAAGAAAATTAATAACAAACTCCCAACATGAAATTTACAAAAATTAATTTGTTTACATTTAATGACAATTCATAATGCTCTTGGTAAGTTCATCTAAAACCTGCTCCATGTGTACACTTTTTTTCCCGGTGAAGACTGTATTTTTCTTGTCTCTCATCATTAAACTAAGGCTACAGTTCATTATTGAGGAAGAAAACTTTTGAAAAATGAAAACAAGAATGTTGCTTAACTATTCAATGAGCCCTCAACAACAATGAGCCCTACAGTAAAAATTAATAAATATTTGCTCTTTAAGTAATGAAAAGGTTCTGTTGTATTACCTGTACAGTATTTTGACTGATACTATTTCCTGCAAACATGGCTGCAAAATGAATTATTCGAGACTTATTCTTCATGAAATGGTCATTATAGTTTCCCATTGCAGTAGGTCTTGTGTCAATGATGTATGAGTCAAAAGTAATGAAGTAAAGAAATTTCAAAGGGTAGTCATGCATATAAGAAACTTGTGACTGAACTGCCCAACCCATATAATCACCTTCAGTTCCTCTTTTTCAAACCAAAGAGAAAAACGAAAGAAAATTCTCTATCCATTAGTACATTTCTTGATACACTAAGTTGGTGTTACTTAAGTGTAAAGTTTCCTAAGTATATAGGTTGAACAGGAAAGAAGAAGGTATAGTTGGTTTAGAAAGGTAAAAACCTTTCAGTAGTTTTTTTTTACAGTGTAATTGCTTTCTCACATTTCTGCTTCCTGCTAGAAGCAAAAGGCTTCTACCACATCAAGGAAATCAAAGAAATTGAAAATATGAAATGGTTTTTTTAAAAAATGCACTACTTTTAAAGTGTGCTGCTGAATCCTGTGGTCATACTTCACTGGAATTTGTAGTTTCTAAATATTTTCTGTGCAAAGAAATTATATATCATTGGGATATGCAGTCTTCCTCCCTTCCAAGAATTTCTGTATAAAATAGCAATGAAACCTTGGAAAAGAGGAACAGCTGCAAATTTTACATTCCTTGTCTGAGTATTTGTCAGTATCTCTGAGATAAGATTTGCAACCTCTCAGACTTCGTTATTTTCAGTTTCAGTTATCATTTTATGTGCTATCTAGTTCCAGGAAAAAGGAAGGCTAACTCCACTTAAGCTTCCAGATGTCCATGCCGTGCTTCCATGCCTTTGGAAGACACAAGGCAGAGAGCGTGACTTTCTAGAAGCTGCGTGGTACTTTTTGAAGAAGTATTTATGATGTTGCGTAACTGCATCAATTGTCATTCTGCTGAAAAACAGATTTATACACAACAGTATGAGACTGCAACATCCTGTCATCTTTCAGGGCTACTCTCATTAGGGATGTCTATTGAGGAAAGAACATATCTCTGTGTTAACACTGCATTTAATAGAACACATGCCAGACTTTACTGAGTCAAAGAAATATATCCCTGGAATTTTCTTATAGCAAAGCACACAGACAATCTGTATTCATTCTTGACCTTTGCAAATGAAATAAATATCTCCAGAAGATCAAGTTTTGCTTAGTGTCTTTGGGCAATATTATCCCCTTCTTAAATTCCCAGGATTGGTTGGGAACTCTTGACCTTTGAAATGCATGCTTCCATAGCTTAATAAGGCAGTTACACTTGGGGCATTTCAGTCTTCAGCTGGGCAGCAGTACAAGGTGCTAACTCTTGGGGACGGCGTTGCTAGTGCAAATGGATGGTAGCTGAGTATTATGGAAGAGCGAGGATATTGCTGAAGGTCACAGCACTGAGGAGAGCTAGGTGTGGTTCCTGGCAGATGTTAGACCCTCTGCAGCTCTTTAAGCCCTCTGCTGACAGCATGGGAAGCACCAACTTTGTTCCACAGAGTAAATTTTGCACTTTCCTGGTTTTTTTTCCTCACTTATAAGTTTTGCATAACAATAAATGTTCTCTCAGGCAACTGTAAATGCCCACCTTTTCTCCTTCTCTTCTCTTCTCTTCTCTTTTCTTTTCTTTTCTTTTCTTTTCTTTTCTTTTCTTTTCTTTTCTTTT